TAGACTGTCAGGATGGACTGCTCCTCTTCCTCTGTGATCGAGTAGAACTGTGAACTGGCAGGATGGACTGCTCCTCTTCCTCGATCGAGTAGAACAGTCTGGATGGACTGCTGAGCTGACTGCTTCCCTCTCTGCTACTGGTGATCGAGTAGAATGGTCCAAATGTGACTTTAAGCTCTGTTTTTGCTATTTCTGAACACCAATAGCTCAGAATACTCCGCGAAGAAATACATTCAACTGGGATAACTCGTTTGAGTTCAGGGTCTGAGGTAGAAGCTAGGGCAGCTAAAGCGTCTGCCGAAATGTTTTCTCCTCTAGGTATTCGAACTAATTCGAATTCTTTGAATTTTCCGGCTAATTTTTTGACAGCTGAAAGATAAGCTTCCATTCGAGGAGCCTTAGCTTCGTAATCTCCAGCGAACTGGTTTACAACTAGCTGGGAATCGCAATAAGCTATTATTTTTTCTGCTCCAATTGCAAGAGCAAGCCGAAGTCCTGCTAAGAGAGCTTCGTATTCCGCTTCGTTATTTGAAGCCGGGAACATTAATCGAATTGATTGTTCAATTATTTCTTTTGTCGGAGTTTCGAGCCTAATACCGATTCCGGATCCTTGTTTAGAAGAAGAGCCATCTACATGTAATTTCCATGTGGAGTCCGTTTCAACAAAGATTCCATCATCTAATGGTAGTTCGGTTAGAAAATCAGCCAGGACTTGTGCTTTTGCGCTACTCCGACTTTTGTATTCTATATCGTACTCACTGAGTTCGATTGCCCATTTCGCCAATCTTCCGGACTGACTTGGACCGTGAAGAATGGAGCGAAGTGGATGAGAAGTTAAAGCTTCTATCGGATGAGATTGGAAATAAGGTCTGAGTTTTCTAGCAGATATGACTACTGCTAAAGCAAATTTTTCCATCATGGTATATCTCGTTTCTGGACTAGTAAGAGATTTACTTATGTAAAAAATTGGCTTTTGTTCACCTCGGTCCTCTCGAACTAACACCCCACTTACGGAATGGTTAGAGACTGAAATGTAGAGATAAAGTTTTTCATCTGATTCAGGTTTTGAGAGAATCGGCGGTGTCGTCAGATAAGTTTTGAGTTGACCAAATGCTGCTTCGCATTGATCGTCCCACCGAAATTTTTTGTTCCCTTTCAAAATTTGATAAAAGGGGAGACATTTATCGGTAGATTTTGATATGAAACGATTTAATGCAGCAATTCTGCCTGTCAATCGTTGGACTTCCTTAATGTTTCTTGGCGAAGGCATAGTGAGGAAACGTTAATCTGATTAGGATTTGCTTCTATTCCTCGTTCCGTGACTATGTATCCCAGGAATTCTTCGGAAGGTACGCCAAAGGAACATTTAGCTGGATTTAATTTCATTCCGAACTCGTTCAGAATTTTGAAACACTGCTCGAGATGTGTGATGTGCTCGGATTTCTTAAGAGATTTTACGAGCATGTCATCTATATAAACTTCCATCGTTTTGCCCAAATGTTCTGCAAACATTTGGTTAACTAAACGTTGGTATGTTGCCCCGGCATTTTTTAAACCGAATGGCATAACTTTATAACAGTATATTCCTCTATCTGTTATGAAGGATGTTTTCTCTTCATCTTCGGGATTCATCATGATCTGATTATATCCAGAAAATGCATCCATAAATGTTAAGAGTTCGTTTCCGGCCGTTGATTCTACGAGCCGATCGATATGAGGGAGAGGAAAGCTGTCTTTTGGACATGCTTTGTTAATGTCAGTGAAATCGACACATACTCTCCACTTTCCATTTTTCTTTTTGACTACCACGGGGTTTGCTAACCAGTCTGGATATTTCACTTCTCTGATAGAACCAATTTCTAAAAGTTTATCAACTTCGTCATTGACCGCTTGTGCTCGGTCAGGACCAAGTTTTCTTCTTTTTTGCTTTATTGGTTTAAAACTGGGATCGATGTTTAAATCATGGGTGATAATACTTTTGTCGATTCCGGGCATATCTTTTGCCGACCAGGCGAAAGTATGTTTATTTTCTTTTAGAAAAGTTACCAATTGATCTTTGATTTCTGAATCCAAAGTAGTACCGATTTTTACTTTTCGATCTCGAAATTTGGAATCAATTTCAATCTCTGTGGTAACTGCATTCGAGCTAAGACCACTTGGGTAACACGAGGTGCTCTCTTGCTTCGTGTTTATCATTAATTGCTATTTGAGCTTTAAACGATGTCCCATGAGGTAGCAAGATCGCGACGTTTCCTGATCTCCTCGAATGGTTCCGACTCCTGCATGAGTAGGAAATTTCACGCATTGGTGATAAGTTGAAGGTATAGCCTTCATTTGGTAAATCCACGGAGTTCCGAGAATTATGTTGTAAGCGGCCGGTCGGTCGAAAACAATAAATTCTACAATCTTAGGAACCCCTGCAGCGAGCACTGGTAGTTTTATGTTCCCCAAGGACATAGATGTGTCACTCGTGAAAGCTACTAATGGTGCCGGTGGACCGATAATGTCAGCTTTACTGATTCCCATTCTTTGCAAAGTGCTTAGGAATATGAGATCTACTGAGCTTACAGTATCAATCAGACACCTAGTTACTTTGAAGTTCGCAACATCTAAAGTTATCACAAGAGCATCGTCATGAGGTCCCGTTAATCCTTGAGTATCCGAATTATCGAAAGAAATAGAATGTGTTTGTTCACTTGACTGGAAACCCACAGCGGTTTGAATTGCTGCTGATTTCTTGTGCCTTTTGATTGATCTGATTGAATCTCGGCAAAATTTGGATCCTCCCATTATAACATCGATCCTTTTCTTAGGAGTGTTTGGGGTTCCGGGCCCATTGGGCTTATGTTTCTTTTCAGGAGGATTAGACGCTTCGAAATCTTCTTTTTCTTTATGATAAGATTCCACAAACTCATCGATATTGAAATTAGCGAGCTCTCCAGCCGCCCACAGTTCGGTGAGGTGCTTTTTGAGTACGCTGCAATCTTTGGTGGAATGCCCATTTACTCTATGAATATCGCAATAGGCACTCTCATCTCTAATCCAGGTATTAGGAGAATTATATCTTCCTTTGTTTGGAGAGGGTTTTCCTACGGCATTAGTAGCAGGATTAACTCCGAACCGTTTTTGATCTTTTGGTTCGAACTTTTTAGTTGGATTTCCAGAGACCAATTTTGCTGGCCGATGCTTTGTAGCGAGGCTAAGCTTTTCTTCTTCTGCCTCCATCCAATTAGTAGCTCTGAATAAAGCGTCTTGGATGGTGCTCGGACGATTGACAATGATTTCTTCCCGAAATCGAGATTCATGCCAGAGTCCGTTTCTTAAAGCAGAAAGGGCAGCAGCGTGCGATACCCCAGGAATTTTGGCTATCACTTCTTTGAATTTAGCGATATATTTGCGAAGTGGTTCGTTCTGACCTTGGGTTAAATTCCAAAGATCTGCATCAGAGGTTGCCTTTTCCATGAACATGGAATACTGTTTTAGGAATGCGGAGGACAATTCCTTAAAACTATCAATGGATTCAGGCTCCAACTGAGTGAACCATAATAAAGCCGATCCGGATAGATTCTCGGAGAATAGTTTGCAATATCCGGCATCCTCCTCGTCTTGTTCTAGATCAATTCTGCCAGCAGCGATCTGAAAAGCAGCGAGGTGATTTTTAGGATCGCCTTTACCATCATAAGTTGGTAATTTGACCTTTCGAGAATCTTTAATCCGAAGGTTCGAGATTCTCGAAGTGAAGGGTGTTCGTCGAGTTTCTTCGATTACTCGATCGATTTCAGGCGCCGAACTGGTCGCCTGATGAAATTTCGATTTCATTTCACTGAGCTCTTGACGAACTTTGATGATATTGTCTGATAGGGTGACGTTAGGATCTTCTATGAAGAATCCATCGTCATCAGGAAGATTTCCCTGACCCTGGGGAACTTGTTCCCCGGTTGAGTTAGTCGCATCCCCTACGGCTGCCTGGTTGCTAGTATTAGCGGGTTGGCCTGCAAGAGGGGTTTGGGTATTCCCAGGAGTCGCGAATAACCTGCGCTGACGTATTGTTGTTCGCGCTGAAGACAAATTATCTAAACGGCTCGAAATAGTATTCTGCGCGTTTGACAAATTTGTCTGGGTGGTTTGAACGCTTGTTAAGGTTTGCTCGATTGAGTTTAACCTTTCACCAAAAGTGGTGTTGGTACTAGCGAGTGTACCCATCTGATTGGTCAGATCGGTAGTGGTCTGAGTAAGCAAAGTAATTGCATTGCTCAAAGCTTGCTGATCAGCCATAGTTTCTTGGTTTGAGAAAGAGAGATTTTGAGATTAAAGAGTTTTGTGGTAACTCCCCACAGGCGGCGCCAAAATGTGGATGTAGGATTCGCACTCGATTGTCTTTAAGTATTTTTGTGGAGAAAAACTCTAAAATCGACAAATGAAAATAAGGATTCGAAAAGGAAAGTAACCAAGAAACTAAATAAAGCGAAAGAATTTGGTAAGAATAAAATAGTAAAAAGCCTTGCGAAATTGTAAGAGAAAAAGTATGTTGTATTGCTTGATCGTAAGAGGTAAAAGATTGTTCTCTCTCAAACACATGCGTTTGAGGTTGTTTTTATAGAGAAAAACATGATTAATGCGGCTATTTACTACTCGTAATCATATTGATCCGCATTAATCACATAAGTTACATTTTGACCGAAACGGCTTGAATTTGAATCTTGTCTTGGGCTTCGCGTGGGCCTTCCGAACTCTTTCTTGCTGACTCCGAACTCCCGTGCCTTGATGCTACCGCGAGCCTTGAACAATATTCTCCTCGCTTCGGTCTTTCTCTATGCGAACTGTATGTTGAATAAGAGCGAACTCCGTACTGGTAAAGATCGAACTCCTTTAATAAACTGAATCGAACTCCCATCCGGTCAAGTTTAATAATGTATCTAGAAATCCAGGAGGATTATTGTGTAATAATGACGTGGACAGATCCAAGTGGATCCTACCGAAAGTGTGTGGGATCCGACCCCAACAGGAATGAGATTTTAGGCTTCACACAAAAACCTGCTGAGACTTTCTATGAAGCATGGGAGCGTTTCAAAGGATATTTGACCCAATGTCCTCACCACGGTTTCGGAAAAGCCTCCCTCCTAAGCACTCTGTATAGAGGATACTCCTTGATACAACATCTAATGGGAACTTTTGGAATAAAGACGTTGAAAAAGGATGGGAACTGGTGGAGAACTTGGCTCAATCTGATGGCAACTACAATGAAGATTATGACAGAACCATCAGGGAAAGTTCGGACTCAGAATAGAAGCACCGAAGAGATATGAAGGCTATGAATGACAAGCTGGACAAACTTCTCCTAGTGCATTAGAAGCAAGTTCATTTTCTCTGTGAAGACGAGCCGTTCCAAGTCCAAGATGGGGAGACTATCCCGTTAGAAGAAATCAGCTATGTGCAAAACCAGGGAGGCTACAACAAAGGTTAGAACAAGTATAAGCCAAACAATCCCAATCTGTCTTATAGAAGCACCAACGTTGCAAAACCTCAGGACCAAGTCTACCCTCAACAGCAGCAGAACCAGCCCAAACATTTCTTCCCATACAATCAAAGTCCAGGGTTTGTTCCTAAGCAACAGTTTCAGGGAGGTTATCAACCACAACAACTACCACCTGGGTTTGCACTACAACAACAACAAGCCTCTACCGCTCTAGACTCAGACGTGAAGAACATGCTTCAGCAGCTTCTCCAGGGACAAGCAACAAGAGCAATGGAAATGGCTAAAAAGATGGCCAAATTCACAACAAGATGGATTGCAGCTATAACGATCTCAACATCAAGTTTGAAGCATTGAGTTCTAAGATGAGATATATGGAAGGCCAGAATGCGTCAATTTCCAGTCCCAAAGCCACATGACTTCCATGGAAGTTAATCCAGAACCCAAAGGAATATGTTAATGCTATCACTTTGGGAATTGGTAAAGAACTACTCAACAAAGAAGGTCCTAAGCAAACCACTGAGGACAATGTAGATCAAGATGGGGAAGATTTCTATCAAAATGAAGTTCTAACTAAAAAAGCAACAAAGGAGCCTATACTCGATCATGATACTCGATCACGAGCTCAAGAAGCACCTCCTTTTGTTGAAAAACCAGCCGCTACTAAAACTAATGAGCAAGTCTTTGTTTCCCCACCTTACAAGCCTCCACTCCCATTTCTTTGTCGATTCAAGAAGGTTCTAATATAGAAGTACAAGGCTCTCATAGATGAACAAATGAAAGATCTTGAAGGCACAATGCTTCTAGTTTATTTTCTTGCGCTAATACAAGATTCCCACAAATACGTGAAGGATATGATCACAGAGAGAATCAGAGAAGTTCAATAAATGGTGGTGTTGAATCATGAGTGTAGTACAATAATCCAGACCAAGATTATAGCCAAGAAATTGGGAGATCCGAGTTCATTTACTTACCTTTCTCTCTAGGTCCTATAGCCTTCAATAACTGCCTCTATGACCTTGTTGCATCTATAAGTCTTATGCCTCTCTCCGTGGCCAAGAGACTGGGTTTCAGCAAATACAAATCTTGCTACATCTCATTGATCCTGGCGGATAGGTCTATTAGACTACCTCATCGGTTATTAGAAGATTTTCCTATCATGATTGGAAATGTTGATGAAGATCAAAGTGCTAGAAATGGATGAAGAAACAATAGATCTTTTGATCTTAGGAAGACCCTTCTTAGCTACAGCTGGAGCAGTCATAGATGTTAAGAAAGGGAAGATTGATCTTAATCTTGGAAAATATTTCAAGATGAAAGTTGACATCAATGATGCTATGAAGAAGCCAACAATAGAAGGACGGACCTTCTTGGTTGAGAAAATGGATCGGCTAGCTGATGAACTGCTAGAAGAGCTTGTTGATGAACATCACCTTCAAACTGCTTTGACCAAGAGTCGTGAAGCTAGGTATCTCCTTAGTGAGACCTTAAGCTATGAGAATTCATTAGCCTCACGCAAGGCAACAACTGGGTCAGATGTCAATAAGGGTTTGATTGGGTAAAAAAAATGGTATGGCAGCAAATGAGGCAAGCTCGACCCATACTCGACCTGCTGACTCGACCGTCTACTCGAGTAATCCTTCAAGTCGTCCACAGAGCTCACGCTTGACGAAACTGCTCGATTAGAATCTAGAGTCTATCAATTTTGCATCAAACGATTAGTTAAAACTCAAGGATAGGTCTAAATTGCAAGATAAAGCCATAAGGGAGATAACAGACACTGTGAGAGAGCTGAAGGATCAAATCAAAGATGTACCCATCCCGCCACAAAGGATGGAATTGTATGTTATTCATTTGGTCTTGCCAAAACGTTTCTTTCTTTAAAATTCACCAACGAACAAACTTCAACCCGCAACTTTTGAAACTTACTAATCTGGAGAAAAAAAGGGAAAAGGGGTGAGTAAAACAAGTTTACTCAGTGAGGAGATCAACTATGCCCACTGGACATACAATAAACACGTTCAAAACATAATCAACAACCATTACTTAGCATAGATTCAAAATGTCTATCAATCAAACAAACAATTGTTCGTCTTGCACACGACTAGATATTTTACTTTAATTTTTAGTTTGAAGTATTTTAAAATATGGATACTCGAGCCTCTTTTAACTTATGGCTACTCAGGCCTACTTATGGAAGACCAGGGCCCGTAGCTCGATCCTTCCCCTTATTGCTCGTTAGTGGTTAATGACCTGTATATGAACCCGTCGGTCCATTACAGTCCAACTTCCTCGAGTATCCTTCCCATACTCTTTAGTTTTCTCTTCTCATATACATATACTATCATTTCTATAATATAATATACGTTAAACATGATATCAAATCATTTCTCTACTACATTTCACATAACATGTTACTAACAACCTAACTTCATCATACACACGAATTCACATAAATCAACAAAGACAATTCTCGAGCCTATACTCAGCAACTATCGAAGAGTATATAAGGAAAGAGGTTACTGCATACCCGCAAATACCACCCTCACCTTAGCCTAATTGAAGATGAAGAACATCTCTCCACCTTTCTCCTTTAGACAAATTTACTAGCTTGGTTGCAATCGCATAGTCTTGAACTCCACCTTGGCTCTCCATTAACCAAGACATAATTATGAGAGTCTTAAAGGCTCCTGCAAAGTTTGGGCTCAAACAAAACTCGTTACATTCTAGACTAATCACTTGAAATCTAGCTCATAGGATATTAGATAGAATCGAGAGGTCATCTATTTCCTGAAATAATCTTAGGTGAGCAAAAGAACTATTCGCATCGAGAGTTGGTTTAGTACTTTTGTGAACATATCAAACCTGAACTTTAATGCTTGTTTAGTTTTAGGAATTCGCATCGAGAGTTGGGATTTCTATTATCAGGCATAGAGAATTAATGCATCGAGAGGTGGTTAATTTGATATTTGTGATTTGAGTTCAAGAACGGCGCTTAATAAACCCTTACCTGTTGTTTAATTTGTAATTCTGAATTTACTGAAAGGAATAACCTTAAGTCTAGCTCTTCCATCAATTGATCTGAAACTTCATTCATTTGTTAGTTTTTATTTGATTATCTTATTTTATATTTAGCTTAATTCGATTGCTGAATTGTTTATTGTGTGAACAACGAGAACTTTGTGGAATTCGACCCTTAAGTACTACAATTCGATCTCTTATTTGAGAGAGTAGTTCTAGGAGTTAATTTGAACCTTATCAAATCTCTCTATTCAAACCCCCAAGAAACCTTGACATAGTTGCTTCTATATCTTCTGAAATGTCAGCTCACAACATGAAAGTCTCCATTTTCTTATAATACTCTTCAACATAACGACTCCCTTGTGTAAGATTCCTCAATCTTAGATGTAGCTCATGGTGGTAGTAACTAGGAAAAAATCTCTTCATCATGATGGCTTTCATTTCAGACCATGATTCAAATGGGAGTTCTTGATTACGTCTTCTTGAAGTAACTAGCCGATCCCACCAACATAAAATATAACCATAAAATTCAGTAGCAGCAACTCTTACTCTATTGATCTCGGTGTAGTTGATAGACTCCAGGACGTGAATCTATGCCCAAGGACACACTTTGTTGGTTTTGAACGTGATTGATGTCGTGGGATGGAAGAAGAACGTGAACGACGGTGATGGATGAGTGGATGATCGGATGAGCGGTTGCAGCAGATTGAAGGGGAAACGATTTGTACTTCCAAGAGAGATGGAAATCTATTAGATTACGGGTTTGAATACAACTTAGATATTACACACTAAGAAGGAAACAAGTTTAGAAGATATTACACACTTCTCTGATCAAACAAGAAAAGAGAGATTTTTGATAAAATGTTTGATGGTTTGCAAATGAGAGCTACAAGGAGAATATAAAGAAGAGGAGGATGAAGGAAAAGAGAGAAGAAAAGAGAACATGCACGAGCATGCACAAGTCCACACTCATGCAAGCTCATGCAAAGTGTCTCGGAAATTACAAAGGCATTAAATGCAAAGTCTGAACATAAAAATAAGATAATGGGCCAAGGCAAAGTAATGGGCCTTAGACCACGAATTGGGCTGATAAAGGGAGGCTTGAAAGTGTTACTTAGGCCTCATTAAAAACCTTCCATTGGGACAAAACTTGACAAGGGAAAAAGAGTGCGTAAGCAACACTTATCCCTCTACCGAACTCCTTGGGTCGTGATCATCATAAGGGTGATCTGGGCCATGTCTTCTTGCTTCTTGTCTAGATCCCTAAGTATTCCGTTGATTGCTTGATTGAACCTTTTGGATCTTGATCGAGTTAAAGGACCAGCCGGGACAATTAGTGCTTCCTCCGGTTCAAGATGCTCCTCAGCTACAAGCTGTTCCTTGGGTTCGTGTGGTGCGTCCTCCGGTACAAGTTGCTTCTTAGGTTCGTGTGGTTCAGTTGTGCTGGTCGTTGTCTCATCATCCTCTCCCACTTGAAAGGATCTGACCTCAAATCCGAATTATCTACAAAATAAGGAAGAAGATCAGAAACGTTGAAGCTACCATTCACGTTGTACTTACCTTGGAGATCGAGTTGGTAGGCGTTGTTATTGATCCGCTTGAGTACTTTG